AAACAAAATATTGACGAAGTATCTTCGGAACGGAATCCTATGGAGGAGGGAGGATTCGATTATGTTTTCCTTCATTCATCACGGGATTTTCATGGACACGAAGTTGATACCGATTCCAAGCAGGAAAAATAGAGAGCTAGAAGTTTTTCGGGGAGCTGGCGGTGTCGCCGACGAAGAATTCTAGGTGAATTTTCTGGTAAGATCTCATGGATGATTCCTCTCCCGAATCCATCGCGTTAGGTGTAATCGAAATGGGAAAGCTTAATGTCGCTCGCGCCGTCACCGCCTCGGCCGTCTTTCGGACGTTTCACTTGTCGTGAGTTTTTTTTGTAGGCGAGTATCACAAGGCCTTCGTCTAGCCGGAGTTGTTTTCGAGAGGATTCTCTTTTTGCTCAGATTCCTGATCTCACAGTATCCCTTGTATTTTAGAGAACTTTGACGAATCAAAATCGAACTCGCCGTGCTTTCACCCCATGCCGGCCGCTCAAGCGAGTGGGCGGCACAACGTCGAACTGCGACGATAAGGCCGACCGACCGCCGACCGCTCAATCCCACAGGCTCCAATGGAAGCCTTCGAACCATACCTGAGCCTGAGCTTCCAGTGGACGCAAGGACCACCGATAAGGGTCAACGCCGAAAATTAGTCAGACAAAAAAATAATCCTCATGGAATCAGCTTCTCGTTTCCGGTCTGATCGGAGGGTTGTAACAGGATGGAGGAATTCCCCATCAACTGAGCTTTGAATCAGCCCTGATTTCTCAAGTTATTACCTGAGCCTCTCCTCACTGGAGAGGTGATTTTGGCTCGGTCGAAGTGACCATGGTGCAGCCATTGATCGAGAGCGCTCAGAACAAAGCCCCGTCGTTCCGGGGCAGCATAAACGATAAGCTAGGAAAAGATCAGAAATATAATCTCTGCTCGTTTTTCCGGGTCAAGCGAAGAGTTGCGGCGCGGAACGAAATTCTCACGCAAACGAGGCGAGGGATTTTTATCGAGTGTAATCGATGCAGTTTCCGCAATAAGGAATTGATTTGCCCTTGCCCAATGCAGACCACTGGACGGGATGTCACCGCGAATACCCCCACCGAGCTCGTCCCGACCGTCGTAAAGAGAGAAGGAGGATAGCTCGGATTCTCCTCTTGCAGTCTACATGCAGGAGCGGAATGAATACGCCAACCGAAGAAAACAGAGGGAAGGAAAAACTTTCTTTCTACTGTGCGTCTGTGAGTGCGGGTCGCGTCGTCTCAAAGAGACTTGGACTCTTCGTGGATGACCAAACTTGCTACTGTCAGCTCACGGCGAGCCGGTCCATATAAAAAATACGGAGCCGGTGTTTATTTTTGTATCATAGTCTTACAGACTGACTTCGGAAAACTGACACTGCTCCAATGAGATCGTCTTCTACGAACGACGGCTCTTCTGCTCCGTTGTCTTCATCCCGAGCTCGCGCGAAGGCGCTCGACTTTTGAGACATTCCTCTCTTCCTCGTCCCTTGCGGATCAAGTTGATACCTCTCCGTCAAATTTCCCCATCGGTCTTCGTCAAATGCTCATTTAATGTTTCTTCCCTCTCTCGGCTGCACGTGGGTTCCGCAGAGACGGCCTCAATCTCAAGGCGAAATGGGGTGATACCATCCTCACATAAGCTCCTCTTGTGGTGGATTGCGCGATTCCCCGATGATAAGGTGTCCCCGGAACCGATATGAACTCGTCGATGATGAACTAGGAGATCTCAACAAACGTCTTTAGCAGCGAATCGGAAAAGAATTCCTCCTGCATGAGAGGAGTCCGGGCTTCTCGGAATTCCGAATTCAGTCCCGACTTTTGCTCGTTCTCGATCGCGAGACCCATGCACGCTCCCCGCACAGGAGTATCGATTGCGACAAGCGCAGGGAAAAAAAGATTTTGTGGAGCAGCACACTTGTCAAGCCAGCAAGAAACCGTGAGTCTATAGAGAATTGAGCGTGGTGAAAAATCAACCCAAGAAAAGAACTGGAAGGAAAAAATGGCGGGGAAAAAACGGAACGTTGCACAAGCCGGACGTGATACCTCCCCCATACATATATGCTGGGAAATGAGACGAAGATTCTGACGGACAGAGGAAAACGGCACCAGCGATATGCTAGCCTCCTCCTGACAGACCATCAAGCCAGCGCGTCGGCCAGGGAACCGACTAGACAAGCGAACGGAAGCGAACGAGCTGGAAAAGATACTTTGTTGCTAGCGAGGTAATTCTGTTACCGACTTCGGGGGGGTAAGAGCGAAAAATAGTCGAGACCGAAAAGAGCGAGCTACCGCTGGCGTCGCGCCGTCACCATACCCAGGTAGACTAGCCAGACTCACAGTCAGTGGGAAAAAATTGCCGATCGAAGTCCAGACCGATGATGGAGAAGGATTGAATTACTCCGAGTAAATTAGCGGAGCCGCCAGAGCGTAGAGTCGATACATCACTCGATCGTGACACGATATTCGAGAGACTTTCAAACTGCGGACATTAATTTGGAGCGAACATTGATATCTGACAATAAGAAACTCGGTGACAATCGCCGCACGGTTCACGTTCTTCGATTAGGTCGGTCGAGACAGTGCTCTAACTGAGCTTCCTCCGAGCCCCGTCGATGAACAATCACCCCTAAGGCTGAACGATAAAACTTGGAATAACCGGCCGTGAATGATATTGAAGGGTTCCGGTACCGGGCGTGGAAGCGTGCGGCACTCTTAAAATGGCAATGCAATTTTTATGGCACTGTGTGAGTCGATCAGACCGCAACATGAACAACGGTATTCCTCAGGTCGAGCACCCCTGATTGTAAACTCGGATCATGCTATGACTAGTGGAGGTAGAATAGATTCAAGACATAAGCTACATCAACGAGGCCAAGGAACACTCTCGAAACAGAAAATAACGACGAACGTGATCTGAAACCGAGTTGGTCCGTCCGGGAGTTATCTCACATGGCTACATGCCATTCGAACACGACACGAACGGGTAAAAACTCTGTCACTCAGGTTGGATGGCTCGGAGTTCACGCAGTACACCGGTCAGACAGAAAGGGAATCACGCCGATTTCTCACGAGCACGAGTACATACATGGAAGAGAAAAACTCACATCTTTGAGACTGGACGGTGCGCCGCGCCAGTATCTACTCGCGTCACATGTATAAGCGGGAGGCACTGAAGATGAAGATGCCAGCACACTCAACGACTCAGACGACTGCGAGTATTTCACTTTTTTTCCTCAGCCAGCGGCACTTGATCGGCCGGCGGAGTTCCGACTCGGCTCCGCTCTCCAACTCACAGAGCACGGAGCGTGAACACCGACAACCACCACTCGAACCTGAACCGGGACTCAGCGGACGAACCGCAGACATGTTACGAGCGAGCGATGTTGACGAACGACCGTGCGTCGTAC